ACTAGGCAAGTGTTAGTTTCTTACAGATCAGATCCAGTGTGCACCTGAAACCGTATCCATGAGTTTTTCATACTCTTACATTAAAATCTGTTGATCTTTTGTAAAATACTGGTTCATTGAGTTATGCAGATCTTCCAAATATTGACACATCACGTTTTAAAAAAAACACACACACACAATTTTCTGTATCACCACTGACGGTATCAGAAAAGAAAGTTTTAGGAAGCTATCAAGTTCTCAGTGGTAGATAAAAGTTTTCTAAAATTCTAATTTCTGCAAGAAGGCACATTCTTTTGTCAGCTTTGAGAAAATACCCACCAAATATCCAACAAAGATAACAGTTGGTCAGTCATTCTTTCTAGTAAAAATGGTGGTCCGTGGAAAAAGTGGCTAGTTCAGCTCTCAAACCATCACACAAGTGGTTTTCCTCAAGACAACCATCCTACTTTGATATGAGCAGACTTGCTTTATGAATATTTCCTGGTCCATCATCCAGAATATTCAAAGGTCATGTGGTCAAGGTTTGAAATTTAATAAATTAATTTTATTATATTAATAATGTTTCCTGTTGTTTCCTCAGACATTTTTCCATGAAACTGGCTTTTTGTTTTTTTTTTTAACTGAGTACCTGGTGGGGAAAAATGGAACAACTCCTAGTATATTTGGTGTCTTATCCTAATTTGTACAGAAATTGTGGGCAGTTTTACCACCATTACTTTTGCAACATCAGTGCAAATGTCAAGACAGCAAAAAAGGCAAATAACATCTAAGCATTGTTCTGAAAGTAGTTTTGAAGCTACAGCCTCCCAGGGGCCCGCAGACCGCGCTGTGAGACCGCTGCCTCCGTGCACCAGCGCTAGCTTATCTCAGTTCATGTTCTCGTGATTCAGCAAGCACTTACATAGGGCCTGTGCTGTGTCATTGTTTTTAAGTGTTTTGTAAATATTCTCATTTACTGCTCATTCAGGTAGGTACTGTTTTCATTCCTCATGAAGTAGGTAGTGTCGTTGCCCTGTCTTACAGATGAGGAAACTGAAGTAGAGTCAGAGTGAATTGCCCCAGGTCACAACGGCGAGGGAGTGGCAGAGCTGGGGTGGAACTCATGCATTCTGATCGTGGAGCCCGTGCTCTCAGCTGCTGTGCTTTTCTTGAATGTCCCCCTCACCTTGGGGCTTCGGTACATATCATCCCCTCCACCTGGAACGCTCACCTCCTGCTTTTGTTCCCATTACCTGGGACCCCCACCTGAACCCCAACTCCACTTTGATGGCAGCTCCATGATTTACCTCCTCAGGGAAGCCTCCCCTCACCCCTCTATGTTCTTTCACAGCATCGTTCACCTTTTATTTCTTAGCACTTACTGCAGGTGCACTCTTACGTGTATTTGTAAGTGTTAGACTAAATTTCCTCTCCCCTCGTGCACATAGGGGCTGTGTGTGTGTGTTTTCCCGCAGTGCCTAGCACTAGCGTCGTGTAGGACAGACATTCAGGAGGTCATCGTTGAATAAATGGGTGGGAGAGTAGATGAATGAACAGAGTTCATTTGGCTATATGGAATGAGGGGCAGGTCTAACTTAATTTTCTAAATCAGAGCACCATGTATTGGTAAAACAAATTATCTCTAGTTCACTGACTGAAATACCACCTTTGTATTGTCCCTAATTCCTATATAGATTTGGCTTTATTTCTGAAATTGCTCTTCTATTTCCCTGGTCTATTTATGTCTTCTTTTGAACCACATTCTTGAAGTTATTTTAGTTTTATAAAGTAGCTTCATATTGGATATAAAAATTCTGATAGCTTGATATCAGATATATTCAGAGAAGTTAGCTTCCCTCCCTGTCCTGTCTCCTCTGTTCTCCATAGGTGACCATTTTTATTAGTATTTCATTTGTCCGTCTTTGGTTTTGGAAGATAGAACCAAATATGTCTGTGTATTTGTTTCCCTCCCCCTTTTTTCCCTGCACAAAAGATAGTAAACTATACGCTTTCCTTTGCAGCTTGCTGTGTTTTTTAAGTTTATTTAATATCTCCTGAAGATCGCATCATAGCGATATGTAGAGGTCATTCTCCTATTTTTTTAAGTTGCACGTACTCCGTTGTGTGCATACACCACAGTTTAATCAGTTCTCTATACTAGGATATTTGCGATGTTACCAGTCTTTTGCTACCTCGGTGTTGTAATGAGTAATAACCTTGTGCATGTATAGTTTAATACATTTGCCATTGTGCCTTTGGGAGCTCATAGGAGATTTTTGAACAGGGACATATTATGAAAGTATTGTTAGGGAAGGTTAAACTAAATGGAACGCATATTTGGAGTAGAGTTGTTGACTGGAAACTTAGAAGTCGAAG